AGACATTTTAACAACAGGAGAAAATATCTCTTCAAAGTCAATACCTTTCTTTTGACCAAAGCCTTTCACAATCAATCTAGCTTTGTACTTTGGTTGAGAACAATATTCTTGAGTCTTCAACTTAAAAACCCACTTGTTCTTCAAGGCCTTCATTCCATTTGGTAGCAGCACCAAATCATAAGTGTGGTTCTTCTGAAGAGCATCCATCTCTTCCTGCATAGCAACTAACCACTTCTCTTTCTGCTCACTCTCAATTGCTTCCTGGTAACTCTCTGGTTCACCTGCATCAGTAAGCATCATATACTCATCTGTAGAGTATCTTCTGGAAGGTTGACGTTATTTAGAAGATCTTCTCAACTGAGGTTCTGCGGGAACTTGCTCTCCTACTTCTTCTTGCTCAACATGTCCTGTAGGTAAATCAACATCAGGCTCTACACTATTTTCCTGCACATCTCCCCCATCACCCTGATATACTGGAGGAATAACTGGGTCACAATCTACTAATCCTTCTGCAGAAGTCTTGGCTGGTGCCTTCTTCTTCAAATCCTCAAAGGTTTGATCCTCAAAGAAGACCACATCTCTGCTCCTGAACACCTTCTGCTTTTCTGGATCTTAAAGCCTGTAACCAAACTGATCATGTGAGTAACCAAGAAAAATACATTCTTTAGACTTACCATCCAGCTTGACCTCTCATTGTCTGGAATATGTGCAAATGCGCGACAACCAAACACTCTCAAATGCCTGTAGGAAACATCTTTCCCTGACCATACATGCTCTGCAACATCACCATCTAGGGCTGTACATGGTCATAAGTTGATCACATCAACTATAGTCCTCAAAGCCTCATCCCAAAACCTTTTGGGTAGCTTGGCCTGTGAAAGCATACATCTGATCTTTTCCATGATGGTGCGGTTCATCCTCTCTGCAATTGTATTATGCTGAGGTGTACCAGGAACTGTCATCTCATGTTGGATCCCACGTGACCTACAATAGTCATTAAACAATCCCGTATACTCACCACCATTATCTAATCTTATGCATTTCAATTTCCTTTCTATCTCCCTTTCAACCCTAGCATGAAACTCTTTGAAGACATTAATAACCTGATCTTTGGTCTTCAAAGCATAAGCCCAAACTTTCCTGGAAAAATCATCTATAAAAGTGACAAAATAAAGTGCACCACTTATACCAAGAATATCAACAGATCCACCAGGAGTTTTTGTCCTCAAAGGACCACATACATCTGTATAAACACGGTCTAAGGCATGCATTTTTCTAGACAAAGCAGCACTAGCAAATGAAACTCTATGTTGTTTACTAGCCAAATAATCAATACAAGGGTTCAGATGTATACCTCTGAGATCTAGTAATACCTCTCTCTTGGAAAGAGCTTGTAGCCCCTTCTCGCTCATGTGTCCCAATCGCCTATGCCACAACTCCATACTGAAGTCTTTCTCTGTAGCATTTAACTGCTCCTGTACAAAGTATGACATTTCTTTCCACTAGCTATAACAAGAGAACCCTTACTGAGCTTCCATTGCCCTCTGTGAAATCTGCTTTCATACTCTTCATCATCTAGTCTTCCAACTGAAATTAAATTCAGCCTCAAGTCAACCACATGCCTCACATCCTTAAGTACCAACTTGCAGCCAAGGTTGGTCTTTAAATGGATATCACCTATGCCAATGATGTCTGCTGTGCCATAGTTGCCCATCTTGACAACACCAAAGTTTCCAGACTTGTATGTAGCAAAAAACTCTCTCCGAGGTGTAGCATGATAAGAAGCACCTGTGTCAATCACCCACTCAAGATCCTGACACACACAAGAAAAAATATCATCAGAAGGAGACAAAATCAAATAATCACCACTCTGCACTATAGTTGTAGTATTATTCTTTGACTCTGTAGACTCCACTTCTTTTCCCTTTTTCTTGTTCTTCTTAGGTTGCTTACATTGGTTCTTGTAATTTCCTTTCTCACCACAGTTATAGCAAACAATATCTTTTCTTGATCTTGACTTGCTCCTACCCATACGTGAACTGCTTCTAGACTTTGACCTTCCTCTGTTCTCTGAGATAAGTGCCTGTGAATCATTCTGAGATGTTGCCGAACTCTTTCTTCTCAACTCCTCATTCAACAAACTGCTTGTTACTTGACTCATAGTGACAATACCATCTGGTGCAGAATTACTGAGGGAAACCACCAGTGTCTCCCAACTTTCTGGTAATTAACTGAGAAGTAACAATGCCTGCAACTCATCATCAAGAGACATTTTCATAGAGGATAACTAGTTAGTAATACTCTGCATTTCATTCAAATGCTCAGCAATAGAAGCACCCTCTCTATATTTTAGGTTCACAAGTTTTCTGATCAAAAAAGCTTTGTTGCCAGTTGTTTTTCTTTCATAGAGACTTTCCAATTTTTTCCAAAGAGAATATGCAGAAATTTTAGTAAAAACATGGTGAAAGACACTATCATCAAGCCACTGTCTAATAAACCCAATTGTTTTTCGATCTAACCTCTTCCACTCATCATCTGTCATAGTTGTAGGTTTTGCACTATCCCCCTGCAAAGGTCCATACAAATCTTTGCAATACAAGAGATCTTCCATTCTTGGTTTCCATATAATCCAATTATTTCCATTCAAACTAATCATGCGAGAAATATTACTGGCCTCCATGTTCAAAAACAAAAATTAAATCACCAAAACCCCGCTCTGATACCAGTTGATGGGGATATAAACAGGAATAACCTTTGTATAGGAACAAATACTAAAAGACCAAAATACGCAGCGGAATAAAGTGGAAACACAATCAAACAGAACACCAAGATATACGTGGAAAACCCCTTCAATGTGAAGGGTAAAAACCACGGGACAAACTAGAGATAATCCACTATAAGAATAATGAATGTACAAATCTCAATCTCTTGCCCAAAACCCTAGCAACAACCACAAGAGAATAACTAGGATACAAGGATCATGTTACTGTCCACAATATCTAAAACCTCCCAAGTAATCACAGCAAGAGCCTACTATAGATTTGATCTAACCTGAGATGAGAACACTGCTAGATGATTGAGAACAGTCTCTCTGCGTTGTCCTTGTCTTCTTCCATTTCTTTCTCTTCCTTTTCTACCTTGTTCTCCTTCTTCTCTTTGGAATCTCGTGGCTCCCAAGATCTGCCTCGTTGCTACCTTTTTATAGCTTTAACCTGTATCTAAAACGTAGCCACCACACCCCCCTAATCTTAATTAGGGTTAGGTTAAGAGGGGGTATGGGCTGTGGGCTGATAAAGTCCACATGGGCTGAATATGGGCCATCAGCCCAACACTCAAGACTCCTTCTTCTAACCAACTCCTAATGCTTCTCTAAAAAATAACCTCTAAACTAATCCTAACTTTAGCCAGCCTCTTCACCTCTTTAAGAGGGGTCGGCTATGTAGGTTTTATATGAAACTTAATTAGGACTCTCCTAGCTAGAGTCCTAATAATGTCCTTATGAAAAAATATTATTCGAGATTTATATGGAGAATGACTCAGTTGATATTCTAGATGAGATAAAATAATAGCAAGCATCAAGGAGAGGTACTTTGGCCATAATTAAAAAAAGGATGTTGGCAATTTTGTAAGAAAATGTTCAACTTATCAAACTAAGAAGGGCCACTCGCAAAACACTGGTTTATATATGCTATTACTAGTTCCAAAAGATATTTAAGAGGATTTATCCGATTTTCAAGAACTCAAAGGAGAGTTGATTCTTGTTTGTGGTTATGGATCGGTTTTCTAAGATGACTCATTTCATACCATGTCGAAAAACTTCAGATGCGGTACATATTGTCAAGTTATTCTTTTAAGAAGTCATGCGCCTATATGGGGTATCAAAATCAATCACTTCTGATGGAGATTCTAAATTTCTATCTCATTTTCTGTTTATCTTGTGGAAAATATTTGACGTAAGTTTGAAGTTCAGCATCATAGCTCACCCATAAACTGATAGTCAGAAGGAGGTAACTAATAGAATCCTAAAAAATTTGATTCATTGTATTTATGGTGACAGAGTGAGACAATGAGATTTCGCATAAGTTAAATTTCCTTATAACAATGCAATTTATAGTTCTATCGAAATAATGATGAGCGGCTTTCTTACTGCAGCTGCAGTAATAACAGTAGGTGAAGAGTAGCAAAAGAGGAAGTAGTGATGTACATATCATCTTACCCTTGATTGCACGGGAGTTGACGTTATTAAGACAGATTAGTGGAGAGAAGGGAATCGCTATCGTCGGGGCATATCAATGAGGATTGTAAAGGAAAACAGATAAGAGGAAAGGATAGGATAAGTAAGAAAGTCTTTCTTGCTTGAAGTAAGACATGCCACGAAGAATTATTATAAAAGAAATAATTTTATTCATTAACATAATCTAATATATATTTATATAATTTTTATTGAAGAGATTTTCCTCAATCATACACTCAAATTATGCAATTCAAATCATTCATTCAAATATATAATTAATCTTACTGATTAAGATTAAAATATTTTTTAAAAAATATAAAATTATTATCCTATATTTATTTATATTATGATGTTCTATCAACTCAAACGTGCTTCGGTGCTCAAGTCTTCTTTGGCTGGACAAAAACCAATCCCCACTGCAGTGCATTCAACAGTCGCCATCGACCTGCAAAGGCAGTCAAAACCTCGTGCCGAAATCATGGTTTGCAGCCATCTTGCATGTCCACTGCCATCACGCAGTGGTGCTTCGGTGGCCTCCAACATCATCGACGACGTACTTGGTTTGATCTCTTCTTTCCTGTCCACTGCCTCATATGTTGCCTCGGATCAGTGCACCTGCCTTTTCTGGAGTGCTGCAGTCGTCAACCATGGCCGTGACATCCAACGTGTTATCCACATGCCTCTCCACTCTCCATATGGTGCCCAAAGCCTACTCCAATATTTCCAAGCTATAAATGAGCTTGTGGCCAAACTTGGTTAGCAGCACTCAGCAACCAAGTGTTGGACTTAGTTGTGATTTTGTAGAAAGAGATGGAGCTGATGGGAGTGGTGGTAGTAGTGTTAGCTTCTGTGCTGGTGCTGTGCTATAGTTCTGTGCTGGAAGCTCAGCTTCAGGTCGGGTTCTACAAGAGCACATGCCCACAGGCTGAATCCATCATCGCCAGTGAGGTCAGGAGAGCGCTATCGAGTAACATTGGCCTGGCTGCTGGGCTCGTGAGGATGCATTTCCATGACTGCTTTGTGAGGGTGAGCAAATTCAATCTGCTCTGTAGATGGCGTAACTCTCAGAACTGAAGGAATGGCTAACTGTCGTCTGTTGCACAGGGTTGTGATGGTTCTGTTCTTATCGACTCCAGTTCGAACAACACTGCCGAGAAGGACTCGTTCATCAACAATCCAAGCCTCCGGGGATTCGAAGTCATCGACAATGCGAAGACCCGATTGGAAGCTGCTTGCCAAGGAGTCGTCTCGTGTGCAGATATACTTGCTTTAGCAGCCAGGGATAGCGTGGTGATGGTAAGACAAGCAAACAAGTTATATATAAAAGAAGAGACCATTAATGTGAAGCTCTGTGCCTGTTGTGTTCTGTAGACGGGAGGAGTGATGTACCAGGTCCCAGCTGGAAGAAGAGACGGGAGGGTGTCGCTGGTTTCTGAGGTGTTGGCTAGCCTTCCGGGTCCCACGTTCGATGTCGACCAACTTACTCGGAGCTTCACCAGCAAAGGGCTCACTCAGGATGAGATGGTCACTCTCTCCGGTACGTCGCCCCACCTCGTCCATGGAACGGCTTCATGTGCTTTGAGTCTGCTACTCCCAGGTTTATTGCATCTAATAGCATACCACACCTCTCCCATTAAATCCTTTGGACACAGTAAGTTGGTTGGTATTGGGGAAGAGTGAAGACACACACTCTGCCGTGCAGTGGAATGGGTGATCGATACCAAGCCCGTTCGATCAAATGACGAATCACGTAGATGGTCCATGTTTTGATTTGGAGGTATCTGATGCGGTCACGCTCGCGTGCATGCAGGTGCGCACACCATCGGCCGCTCGCACTGCGCCGCCTTCAGCAGCAGGCTCTTCGACTTCAACTCCACGGACGGGCACGACCCGAGTTTGGACTCGGCGTACGCGTCGCAGCTGAAGCAGCAGTGTCCGCAGGGCAGCAACGACACCAGCCTCGTCGCCTTCATGGATCCCCGCAGCCCCTACACCTTGGACACCGCCTACTACGCCAACCTCCTGCAGAACCGAGGCCTCTTCGCCTCCGACCAAGCCCTCGCCACCGACTCGACGACAGCGGGCCTGGTGAAGCAGAACGCGGCCGCCGGCGGTGGGATCGCCTGGAAGAGGAAGTTTGCTGCGGCCATGGTGAAGATGGGTCAGATAGACGTGCTGACGGGAAGCGATGGAGAGATACGTAGCCGCTGCAGGGTTATCAACTAAGCGAAGATAGTGTTTAGTTTTATGCGTATGTGTGCTTTGCTTGTGATTTTGATTTGGGCGGAAGCATGTAAAGTTAACGATAAAGTATCTCAAGCTTTTATAAACTGATTGATTTATCACGAGTTGAGGTAAACATCCTTTAGTATTATGACATGCAAGGAGTAAACATTAAGACATTATTTCAGTATTAAACTACCAGAAAAATAGAAACAATTAGCGAGAAGGCACATGCCATTAAAACTAACTCGTGTTTGCAACAGAAACGTTCTAAATTATTTCGATAAATCTAGACCAACAAAATAAAATTCCTAAAGTGCATGAACAATGGCTTGGGAAGCTTAATTTCCAGTTTCCTAGCAGTACCATGTGGCCTCGTCCTTTGTGATGTGCTCCCATTCTGACGATTGGCTGTTGGAACCATCAGCAATAGCTTCGCTTCCGTATGTACCGTATGTAGGAGGAAGAACACCTGGCTCAGCAGCAGTGTATGCACGAATCTCTGCTGGTGGCCTACACACAGTGTCATTAGCTGGCTTTTCATGTTCAGCAACCACATGGAATTGTTGGTTCCAGCAAGAAAACCCAGATTCGACATGACTTGGTAGAAACTTTGATTCCTGAGTTTGTTCACCATTTGGATGATGACCATTTGCGGTCTGTCCATATCCCAACCAACCTTCAACTTCTGCAGAATCATGAATCTGCGCATGGTCTGCCATGGTAGTGCTGTTTGACCTATCAGGCAATGCATTTGTGACTCTGAAAGTAGACATAACAGAAGCATCAACATCATCTGTTTTGCTTTGCCTTATTTCAAGTGGTTCCATGTTACTGCACAAACTTTGATTGCCCTGGCAACTCCGTTCATCATGCTCGATAATGTCATCCATAGAATTCAAGCTTATTAAATTGTACAATCGTGAAGGCTTCTGTTGCACATCAGATGACTCGTCCAAATTTGCTGAAATAACATGTAATGGATTCAGTGTGACAGATTTGATAGAAAAAAGTGAGCAACAAAATATATTTCACCTGGTATTAGTTTTTTACCTTTCAGTTTCAGTTTGTCATTTTCTACCTCAAGTTTCATCTGAGCAAGTTGAAATTTCACCGTGGATAATGCAATTTCTGCCTCCAGCCAATGTTTCTTGTAAAATAGCATCTCAGATTCTTCTACTGACTTAAAGTGGTTTTCCCCTAAGATCATATCTAGGGCCTCCTGTAGATATGAAAAAGCGTGATACTTTTGACGTCAGCAAGAAGTAATAAGATAAATTGCGCTGCGACTCAAAATGGTACATATTTACCTTGGTCGTGCATCCCTTTAATTCAACATCAACATCTCTCGGTACACAGTTGCTGAAGTTATTATTATTGGCTCCGACTTCTATTCCATGGATAGTCGCTTTC